CAGTTATTGCAGGACGTTACAATAATTACTTTATTATACAATTCCGCTAAAATGTTACTAAATAATGGCATAATATTTACATCCAGGTGGTACCATGGGGCCTCAGGAAGACCCTCAATTGGATTAAGAGCACATACAACAACCCTCCAGTGCTGATCACCGAGAACGGTATATCTTTGGAACCAGGTTTACACGACCCACGCCGAATCAACTATATAGACGGGTATGGCTGTTTTTATATAATCAACTAGCTGTTTTCCGCGACTCCACCCGTATAAATTCTAGCCTATGTCACACGCGTATGATGTAACTCCATATAGATTTTTGAAACAAGCTCGGTAGTTTCGGAGCCCTTTCAATGAAACAAACAAACAATTAAATTTGTCCTATACTATAAGTATAACAACATGACGTTAGATTTTCATTTGTCCAATACAATTTGTCCATGGTTCACGTGATAATCTCTGCTGTCATGTATCTTGTGCCGATTCCATGGGTATAAAAGTTTATGATGGAAAATGGGGCAAGACACTTGCATATACTTAAAGTCTCGACAGTATCACTGTTCAAAAAACATACCTATTGGATTTAAAAGGCTTATATTATAGTGTTTATGCACATGACAAAAATACTAAATACATAAAAAAACCTAAAAGATTCAATTTTTTTAATCCTTTTCTATACATTACACAAAAGTCCAATTTGATCAAGAAACATAATCACATCTCCTCCACTATCGCCTATAACTCCGGAGTTCATATTTTTTTCTGCAAACACAAAGCAGGAGAAACCATAAAATATGTAACATTTCAGATATTTGAGAGCCCTTCACGCAGCTATAACCAAAGATGGATGTAACGTATACGGGTACACCTACTGGAGTCTTTTAGATAACTTTGAATGGACCAGAGGATACTCGTGAGTAATTATTATTCATTATGTTTCCAATAAAAAATATCGCTGATTTTATATTAGTACTAGCTGTTTATTCCCGCATATATTATAGCCTACGTCACCCGCGTCTGATGTAGCTTTCCGTAGGTGATAGAATTTTCATGATCTGATTTGATTTGAGAATTGCCCCCTACCATGAAACTACCCCTTTATTATATTAGATCGGTATAAACTAACTTAAAAATGAATAATTATTCTTAGATTAATTTAAGACGCTTTCTGGCCTTGCCGTGCAACGCTCAGAACTATATTAAGTATGTACTTTTCTATATTCTCTATCGGGAGCGAAATTTTTTCTTTCTTTGTAAATAAAATCGCTATTGCAGTTTTCTTTTGTTCAGACTCAATAGTTTTTATCATCACGATAATTAGTAATAAGATCTCAGTTTTATTAACTTGTGGGTTACCGCCAAAAAAACTTTGGGAATCTCTGACGAAAGTTCCGAGTAAAACAATTATATTTTTGGTTTAAGATTTATTTTCTATTGCATTATCAAGTAAATTATGTGGAGAAAGTTATTAATTAAACAAAATTAATTCAACATTTCAGTGAGCGGTTCGGTCTGTTCGAGGTGGATTACAATTCAGATGAACGCGTCCGCACGCCGCGACAGTCAGCCGCGTACTACTCAAATATTGCTACCACAAAATGCTTACCCGATACATACTCCGGATATAAATTATAGTTTTAAAATAACAATTGTTATAATAAATATAAATGAATACTTACTTAAACATGTAGTTTTTTTATTTTACACGTATTCATGTTGACATAGAACGAAATCTACTGAGGTTTGTTTTCTCGCAGAGCTCTGGCAAGTATGATTAAATAAACTCTAAAACTCGGGTTTTTCTGATGAGGGCCCTCTTAAATATTATTTTTATTACTTTAATTTTTTTTTCTTAGTGACAATACAAATAAATAGTCTGTGAACATATTTCAACTGTTTAGCCAGATTTGGTCCTATTTTTAGCGCTTTGGGACGCTTTTTATTAATATTATATTATACTATTGTTAAATCCTGAAATAAAAGCCAATATCAATATTTTCAAAATATATTTCATATTCATAATACACACATGCTGTCTTCACATAAAACCATTAGCAAATATTTGGAAGACTAAATACAATAAGGACACTTATCATACATCAAAATGTATACCTATCATACAACAACATGACTTTGTTCCCAAAGTACCTCTACATACAACTATAGTAATAATATAATATCCAATAAAGGGTGAGCTACTTTCATACTAAATTGTAACTTTGAATTTAATATAATAATAAATAACTTTTGTAAACGACAAGGACACATTCATCGCCCTTCAAGAATAAGAGAGATGGCAACAGTTTCGATTTAAGTACCCTGCAAGACTTGCAAATATAATACTTAACGTTTATAATTTAATGCTCATTTTCTATCAAAGCACTATTATATTTTATTGCTTTGTTTCAAATATTGAGTTATTATAACACTTTGACACAAAAATTCCTTAAAAATATTACTTAGATTCTAAATTTTAGAACATCCGAAGTACGTACATATTAATAATAAATTCGTATGTTTATTTAAATAAATTGCAATAACAATATTCAAATAATATCGTTCATAAGGCACTCAGTATCTATATGATATATTTCTTTTTATTTTCAGAGGTATGTATTGCGCCTTTAAAATTGATCATAGCAAAATCTCAAAGGCAAGAATGCTAAGTAAGATTATTTTATTTCCACTATATCAACTCGCATAGTTTTGTTTCATATTGTAAAATTAATATTTTTAAAACATAAAAACCATTTTTATGGTTATTTTATCAGGTTCAGATAAAAATTTTAACCAAATAGGTTTCAAACAGTTAACATAATAAAAATTCAAATACTATATCATACATTATTCGTACAAATATAAAATTTGATATATAGGAATGTCTACTTCATTTTTTTGTTATATAACTAAAATATTCCTGCATTTATAAATAAATACACAATACTCAGCAATTATAGTAACTAAAAAAAATTGTCGTATGGAACTCTGATGACTGACTAAAGTTGCTGATTGTAGAGATAACTGTTGTAACTAAAATTATATGTGATTGAATTTAAATTTTACAAATAAGAACCTTAAAAGTGCAACGCTAAATTTGGACAATAAATTGTATCTATATATATTTAATACGCATTATGAATACTGACTTATTTAAACAATATTTATACTGATTAAGTATTGATATAACATTGACAGAAATACTGAATAAAATAAACGTTTAATATACGAGTAGTTCCAGAGATTAGCGCGTTCAAACAAACAAACAAACTCTTCAGCTTTATAATATTAGTATAGAAGTATTTAAAAAAATAGAAAGCCCTAAAAAAGCATCTCCACTAGATAGCGACTCTAGCAAAAGTTGATTTTTGCAGGAAACGAATGGACTAAAGACAGTCATTTCCGTTAAACTCAAAATATCAAAAGATCATTTCTTCGCATCTTGAAAATTATAGGTACTTATGTCGCCAAGTGCGCCAAGCGCCATAGGTAATTAAATGACAAGAGTATCTGAGTTAATTCACACATCCTACAATGTCGCACTGATTACGATTCGCAAATCATTGAAATCTGCTAGCACTGATATGACTGGTAACGGGGCTGTTCCCCTTAGCGACCTCCGACCTCCCCTACAGTCACCCCATGCCTCGCCTGATTTTTACACACTGTTCTGATCATCAGTCCACCTCCTGATGCTATACATCATCATTACTCTGCCCGTTAATGATGATCTGATATACCCGCAGGTATTTAAACTTACCGACGCATCGGTCACTGATTTAGTACTGATTACACACAATAAGACAAAGCATAGAAACACTATGCACGATTTCACATATAGAAATAGGCCGCTCGTTTTCGCGGTAAGAAAAATATTAACAACTATCTACCGACATGATTTCGCATTCGCAACAACTTACGAATAATTACCGTTTTATTCCATTAAAAAGAATTGCTTAAAAATTAATTTCACCAAAAATATATTTATGGAAATATAATAAATACATCATTAAAACTCGACTGATATGTATAAACAACCGACTGATAGTACAATATGCACTATATACAGGTTGATTCAAAATTACAACAAAACAAATTGGTTAATTTTACTTCGTAAGAATCTGTTAGTTAAAAAATACTAACAGATAGTACTTCAAAAATAAGATACATACAGTTATACTTATTAAGCGAAATACATAGAATACCTACGAAATACAGTAATTGATACATTTTTTATGTAATTACTTCAGTAGGTAAGATGTACTAAATTAATTATGTTACCTAATTATGCATACCTTTAAAGTACCAGTCGATCACGCTGATGACTACTTAGATGCTAAACCTATCACTTAGTAGACGAAAGTTTTTGAAGGTTTAAGCCGAATTAAAGTGAGAAATCAAGTACCTAATTAAACAATACGGTCAGACACATCCAGGAGCGGCCGATCAGAAGTTTAAAAACAAAGAGAAAATGTTCGTCGGCTAGCGCAAAAATTGCGTTCGTACTTCATAGCGGTTGAAGTGGTGGTCCTTCGAATAAATTTGTATTTGTAACTAAATAAAGACGCTTGATAAATCTGTATTTACTTAATATAGTATCCTTTAAAAACGTGTTCTTTTAGTTTTATAGTATCTAATAACATTTATATAGACTCAATTAGATTTAGTTTAATTAAAAAATATATAATAAAGGTAATTTTATTTACATGGTTTATCCTATCAAAATAATCCTTTTTATCAGGCACTTTATTATTATACTCATACTTTATAAGTGCTAGTTTTCTATGTCTTTAGCATAATTGTATTATTTCTCAAATTTTATAATCATAATGACTGACTTATAGAAAAATATTATTCTAATGGATGCGGTAATTAAATTTACTCAAAGGAGCACTCTGTATGTCATTAATTAAAATATACACATAGTGATATATCGTTGGGCTCGTGAAACATTTGCAGTGTGCGACCGACAGACGGACAGTGATAACGATGGACCGGCTCTGGAGGGTCACCGGGGTGATAGTTACATTGTTATGTATACGGTGAGTTATATAATGATAACCTTTTTATTTATAACTAGCTTATTCAGTGAACTTCATTTTTTAAACTATTTTCATTCTACAGCAGTGCTATATAAAAGCTTTAAACACGAGAGGAAATCTGTGCTGACAGTTTAAAGCTTTAATGAAATAAAATCTTTATTACCGTTTCATGTAGGTGTTATTTAATTGTACACTGACAGCGCTGCGCTCGTTCTATGCTAGCTCTAGCTGTTTTTAACAGAACTAGCTGTTTCCCACGACTTCACACGCGTAAATTATAGATTAAGTCAACCGCGTATGAGTCATCCATAATGAATGAATTTTTAAGATCTTTTATAAATTAAACTACATATCTAAACTAAAAGAAATCTCTAATGTTATTTTTATTTTGGATAGGCAACGAAATTATATTACAGAATTAGAAAAATAAAAAAAGACTATATAAAAAAAACACAATAAAGAGAAACGCAAAAAATCAAAATCAAAATTATTTATTCAGACTAGGCTGTTACAAGCACTTGTGAAAGTTGAGAGCTACGCCATCGGTTAGTAAATCTACGGCGGGAGACCTTGTACCGAGAAGAACCGGCAAGAAACTCGGCAAGGGCTGCTTCTTTTTCCCTGTTTTATTTCATACAGAGCGTCAAGATTGAAAAATGACTTCATTAAAATATGAAGTCACTTTCCATTACAATTTTAGAAAATATAAAAGTTAAATAGTATTTACGTCAATCGAATCCCATGTCTAGTTAAACAAGCTCACCGATAAATAATTTAATATACTTAAAATAAGCCATATTTAACACCAAGCAGTTTTGTCGTTTAAATATTCATTTACAGTATAATATCCTTTACTGACTAGACGATTCTTAATATGCGTTTTAAATTTAGGCAAGGGTAAGTTTAAAATATCCATAGGAATTTTGTTGTAGTATTGTATACCTTGACCCGTAAATGTTGATAGAACCTTCTTTAACCTGCATGACGGCAAAACAAGTTTATCTTTGTTTCTAGTATTAAAATTGTGTACATGACTGTGTTAAATGTAATTGTTAATATTTTTTCTAACATAAAGTATGCAATTGTATGTAAATTGAGAGGCCACTGTTAATATCCCAACTTCTTTGAATTTGTCTCTAAGTGATGTTCTTGAACCCAACTGATAAATAGCCCTTACTGCTCTTTTTTGTAAAATAAATACAGACTCTATATCTGCAGCCATCCCCCACATCAGAATGCCATTTGACATAACGCTATGGAAATAACTAAAGTATACTGTCCTAGCAGTATCTACATCTGTGAGTTGCCTAATTTTTCTTATTACAAAGGCAGCTGAACTCAGTTTTCCTGCCAATAATGAAATGTGAGGATGCCATTGCAATTTAGAGTCCATCGTTAAAAATATTAAAGAAGTATCATCTGCAAACAATACTATATCGCATAAAGTTTCGACAAAGAATGGCAAATCATTTATGTATGTTAGAAACGGAAAGGGACCCAGAATAGATCCTTGGGGAACCCCCATTTTTATTTGTGAACCAGATGATCCCGTACCGTTTGTATCGATAATTTGAGTTCTGAAACTGTAGTACGACAATATTAGTTGTAGGGCAGAGACATTACAACTCGCCGTAATATATTGATTATGCGAAAAGTATAAAAAATACTTGTTTAATATTCTTTAATAATCCATCTGACGGACAGACAAACAAACATTTTCATCATCCTATTCTAGTTTTTGATATTGTCATTAGCTGTTAGATTGGTGAATGTCATTTAGTGTCATTTGCGGTTTTGGGTTGTGCTGATTTTTGTGGTTTCACCAGGAGTTTCACAATAGTTTGAAATTAAAATACAGATTAACAACTATACACTGTGCTTACAAGTTGTAATATATACAAGATATATGAATGCAACAGTAAAGAAACTGTAATTTATATAAGATAAAAGAATATAAATAAAATAATATAAGATAAAAGAAAAAATAAGATATCTGCTTGGCACCATCAGTTCAATATTGTAATCTATAGAACTATAGGTGCTAATATTATAACGATGAATTATTAAATTTTTCTTTGTGTGCTCTGAAAAGATTTGGAAATTACTAGACTGATTTAAAAAATACCTACATATACGGACAATTACTTATATCATACACGGATGATATAAATAGATATAACTTACGCGAGAGAAAACATGGGAAAACAGGTAAAAATCATTTATTTAAGTTGTGTAATCATCATATTTCAAATGACCAGTTGGCCTGCTGAAATTTTATCATCGATTTATTTAAATTGTGTAATCATCATATTTCAAATGACTAGTTGGCCTGCTGAAAATTTGCCATTGATCGATATCTCGTAATATATTTATTGATTGATGAGTAAATTTTTTATGATGATACTCATCACAGTAATTTGAAAATAATTGCATTTTAAGTGGCCTTTTTAAAATTCACTCAAAGAGTAAACCACATTTGCGAATTAAGTTACGATTTGTAATTCAATTAAGATATTACAAATATTGTGTAAGTACTGCCATAGATACACATAACCTATGTATTACTTAATAATGTGTACCTAAATAACATTTCTACTATTCGGGTTAAATTTGCTAGCAATACATACCACCTACTAAATTTCGAAGAGAAGAAAAAAAAAATTAAAAAGTTTTTAGTGTTTCTTTTTCTCTTTCTTAAGGTTTATTTTTTAAACTAGTTGTTATTTTTTATATGTTTATTTATTAAGATTCTGTAGAGACAGCAAAAATAATTTAAAAAAAAAGTTTTTAACTCGATAAAAAGACGGTAATGGTTAGCTAATGTGATATTGGATTTTGTCTGAATTTGTATTGACACATAATTATAAGCACAATATTTTTCATGAATCAACAGTAGCAAGGAAATTATCATTAATTTATACCTACTTATCTCATTAGCAAATTAATATCGAAATTAAGAAAAGAGTTAAAACATTTATAAGTAAACAAATTAATGATATAATAATTGGTGCAGTCATTAGGCCTGCTTATTCTTTAGCTATAATAAATTAAATAAATATATATTCCAACGAGTTATCTCCTTAACCGCGGTTCCGTCGGGGCAGCCCTTTGCCAGTACTTTTCCCTAGTATTTTAACGTAAACAGCAATTTGGGTCAATATTAGATATTAGTAAACAAATCATTAATTGAGTACAACGTAGAAGAAAATCTAATGTTCAGGATGTTTATTGTACGCATTTAATTAAATAGTTTTTGGAATACATACAACATATCTTTATTTCATTACTTATTTATTATGCATATAAATAGTATACAATTCTAACTAGTCAATAGTTTGACTTGTATTTGATATGCCAGTTGTATGTATATTTATTAGGATAAAATCATATTATTTTCAAGCTAACTTAAAATTATCCTACTTCCTGGTAGTGGTGTTTATTTGTAAAATGGTTCGCGTTTGTGTGTTTACAGTGGCGGATGCAGCAGTATCGGAACGACGTCGAAACTTTGTTTCCCGAATGAATTCCTCTTCGGCGTCGCGACAGCCTCATATCAAATTGAAGGCGCGTGGAATGTCTCTGGTATATATTTTTTTAAATCTTAAATTATATAATTTTTTTTCATAAGGTATGCAATACAAATATTAATATTTTTGTAGAAATAGTTGCAAAAAACAATTGTCTCAAGTACCCGTAACCCGACTAGACTCGAACCACTGAATCCTTGCTAACACGCAAGTGCCTCTAAGTTAGAAAGAGATTAGTGAATTTTTCAAGTACTTAGTTTCGCTGCAAGTGAGCGTTTTTTAGTATATTTTTTTTTCAAATGAATTTGCATACTTACACGTGTTTCATTTTATTATACATAACATAGCTCTTTGGTAAGGAATAGTGTTATAAATAAATAACCATTTGCTGAAATTCGCGACGAACTTGTTCGTTCTGAGCAAGATCTCAGACACATTTAGTCTAGGAAGTTGTAATCAGACTTGATTTATTATTTTAACGAAAAAATAATGAAATTTTCTGTCTATTTAAATATAGAAGTACTTAGCTGTCATCTCTCGCGTAAATTATAACCTACCCGCGTATGATGTACCTATGTGAAAAAACAAATCTTTCCTATTTATAATATTAAGGATATTATATACATTTTACATGTTTTATCGTCACTTGTTTCCATCCAGGCAAAGGTGAGAACATTTGGGACAGGTATACTCACACTCGTCCAGAGCGTATCTTCGACCACAACACCGGCGACGTGGCCGCCGACTCCTACCACCATTACAAGCAGGACGTCAAGCTACTCAAGGACCTGGGAGTCAGTTTCTACAGGTTCTCTATATCGTGGTCCCGGATATTGCCTACAGGACTTACCAAGTAAATAAACAGCTTGCTTTCTAATCTATATTTTCACGCAAGATCCTTTATAAGATAGAGTGGTTCACTAATCCAATCTCTCTTTCTAGATACACGATTATTTGTGTTTTGGCTTCTGTAATCACCCCCGATATATGCGATTATAAAAGATATCTCTTGGTACAAAAGCTTTTACAATAAATTTTAAAAGCTGGTTTAGGAATCATAGTACAAATTAACACAGTTCTGGAAGTTAATTTTCAAAGTAAAGACAATCTATTTAAGACAACTCTGATACAAGATGTAAAAATTAACATTCAATAGGTTTCAATTTTGTAATATCTTTATTCATTTCCACTTAATGACTAATGTATCTTACGCAATTAGAATTTACATCAGCTTTTAAGCATTTACATTCATCAAAATTTCACCAGTGAAATAAATCAAGACGGCATAAAATACTACAAGAATGTGATCGAGGAGCTTCGTCGGAACGGCATCGAGCCGCTGGTGACCATGTACCACTGGGACCTGCCGCAGCCGCTGCAAGACCTGGGCGGCTGGACCAACCCCGTCATCGCTGAATACTTCTTCGATTACGCAAAGGTAAAAGTTACGAGGTGGCCAATTAGTTTTATCAGTGTTGCTCAAACTGTCAACGTGACGTGCCCCCAACCAAAATAAACGTTCAAGACAATAGCGATCTTAAATATTTTAATGGGTGATTAATATTCGGTAATATTATGACTAGTCCTATTTTTATCTGGCAATAAATGTACATCAGTGGTCCCTGACAGCAGGTTGTAGTTCGCATACGTACTGTAATAGTACGTATTATTCAATAAAATTAAGCATGGCATGGCAACGAACATGACACGACATATTGTAGTGTAATACCATAATACTATAGGGCACCCCAGCGCGGCAAGGCATACTGTTATTTTCGGCTTTAATAAACAAAAGTACAATTAGTATTTATAAGCTGCAATTAAAAATGTAAAAGAAAACATTAGCAAATATTTCTTTCTTGGCAAGTCCCTAGATGGTGCTGTTCTTTTCTCATTAAAAAAAAAAACCCTTGTTTAGTAGTGTTTTGGGCTTAGTTGTAGAAAAATATTTATTGCAAGAATGATAACCTTACCATCCCTTAAGTGCCTTATAGAAGGTTCTTTTATAATTATAACTTGAATTTTTTTATTATTACTATTGCTGTATCTTATTGTTTTTATGCGTTTAACACTCGGTTTCCGAATTGAGAATTTAAAGTTAAACACGTCTCAAACCGTAGTACCGTACGTCTCATTTAGATAAGTTACCGTTTCTGATTTAAATTTTATAAACGATCAGATGATAGAAGTTCGATAAACACTGGGACTGGGTAAAACTTAAAAAACTTAACTTATTGAGAATAATCAGCTGAGATTTTGTACTTATCTCAATTCAGAAACAGTAAGTGTTATTAAATATATCTTATTTGCCTAATATTATATTTGATTGAACAATAAAATCCTATTGTAACCCAACAGGTCCTCCTAGATAACTTCAGCGATAGCGTCAGGTTCTGGTTAACATTCAACGAGCCGTTTACGTTTTGTCACGACGGGTACGGCGGCAGCGACGCGCCCGGCGACCGCTCCAGCGGCATGGAGGACTACCTGTGCGCGCACACCGTGCTGCGGGCGCACGGGGCCGTCTACCGCATGTTCCACAGATATTACAAGCCGATAAACAATGGTACGTTTTAAGTCGACGTTACGGATAACACATCGGAAAGGCGTCCATAAAAAATAATGACAAATTAAATGATCAATATAGGTACACCAATGAAAGAATGTAATTTTACCAATAGCAAAAGAATCGTGTTCAAAGAAAGATATTTTTAAGATTTAAATTATTATTTATTTAAATAATAAATTATTATTTTTTTAAATAAATTTCTAGTTTGCCACATGTCTCAAATACGAGCGCCATAGGCAAACTACGCGCGTAGCTCGTTCCTAAAGGAGAAGTTTTTGGAGAAGAGAACAGTAAACGAGTAATTATAAACTGTCGAGGAAGTATTTAATGCAAAGTTTAGACATAGGTTTCCTACAAACAATATTTATGGTTATATTTAAGAATATTGTTAAAGGCAAAAAGTTTGTGGAAAGAAAAATAGAACAATAATATTTTGTTGATAAATATCATTTTTAAAACGACGCAGTCCCAACGTTGACAGTAAGTAGCATAAATAAATTCATAGGTATAAAACGAGGTTGACGACATCGCTCAATGCAATGCGTTTTGCAAAGTGTTTTATATTCAATAAACTAGAAAACCGATTTCAAGTCAATCTGTGTTGAAATCGGTTTCCCAGGGGGTCGACATTGACGAAAACTGATTTTGGGGGTCAAGAAGAGAAAAATCGACGATACTTATCAAAATAGATATTTTTTGTAATTACAGTAAAATTTATTTATACATATCCTGTTTTAGGTTTAATGGGCATAACGCTCGACCTAGCCTGGATTGAACCCGCGTCCACGTCGGTGGAGGACCGCGAGGCCGCCGAGATCGCACGACAGTTCATCGTCAGTAAAATAATACCATTATATTAAAATATACATCATATTAAATTGCATTTTGGACTTCGTAGTGAATTCGTACCATTTGATTTCAGTTTGGATGGTACGCGCACCCAATATTCACAAAGGATGGTAATTATCCTCCTGTCATGCGCAAGTTGATAGACGAAATGTCAACACGGCAGAACTTTGTGAGGTCACGTCTACCCCACTTCACTATTGAGGAAGTGGAGATGATCCGGGGCGCTTACGATTTTATGGGATTAAACCACTACACAACGTACCTGGCTACGAAGACCAGTCGGCCGATCAGTCCTATACCCTTCTTCGACGCCGATATGGGAGTGAAGTTATCACAGAACAAGGATTGGCCTAAATCAAACTCTACATGGTTGAAGGTAAAGATTTTGTGATTTCAATAAGATTTCAGCACATTTCTTCCCTTACCTATGAGATTTTTATTATAGAGTTTCCATTTCACATAATTTGGTATTAAAGCCAAAAGATTTCTTTGAATGCTATACATTCAGTTATTGCAGGACGATACAATAATTATTTTATTATAAAATTCCGCTAAAATTTTACTAAATAATAGCATAATATTTACATCTAGGTGGTACCATGGGGCCTCAGGAAGACACTCAATTGGATTAAGAGCACATACAACAACCCTCCAGTGCTGATCACCGAGAACGGTATATCTTTGGAACCAGGTTTACACGATCCACGCCGAATCAACTATATAGACGGGTATGGCTGTTTTTATATAATCAACTAGCTGTTTTCCCGCGACTCCACCCGTATAAATTCTAGCCTATGTCACACGCGTATGATGTAACTCCATATAGATTTTTGAAACAAGCTCGGTAGTTTCGGAGCCCTTTCAATGAAACAAACAAACAATTAAATTTGTCCTATACTATAAGTATAACAACATGACGTTAGATTTTCATTTGTCCAATACAATTTGTCCATGGTTCACGTGATAATCTCTGCTGTCATGTATCTTGTGCCGATTCCATGGGTATAAAAGTTTATGATGGAAAATGGGGCAAGACACTTGCATATACTTAAAGTCTCGACAGTATCACTGTTCAAAAAACATACCTATTGGATTTAAAAGGCTTATATTATAGTGTTTATGCACATGACAAAAATACTAAATACATAAAAAAACCTAAAAGATTCAATTTTTTTAATCCTTTTCTATACATTACACAAAAGTCCAATTTGATCAAGAAACATAATCACATCTCCTCCACTATCGCCTATAACTCCGGAGTTCATATTTTTTTCTGCAAACACAAAGCAGGAGAAACCATAAAATATGTAACATTTCAGATATTTGAGAGCCCTTCACGCAGCTATAACCAAAGATGGATGTAACGTATACGGGTACACCTACTGGAGTCTTTTAGATAACTTTGAATGGACCAGAGGATACTCGTGAGTAATTATTATTCATTATGTTTCCAATAAAAAATATCGCTGATTTTATATTAGTACTAGCTGTTTATTCCCGCATATATTATAGCCTACGTCACCCGCGTCTGATGTAGCTTTCCGTAGGTGATAGAATTTTCATGATCTGATTTGATTTGAGAATTGCCCCCTACCATGAAACTACCCCTTTATTATATTAGATCGGTATAAACTAACTTAAAAATGAATAATTATTCTTAGATTAATTTAAGACGCTTTCTGGCCTTGCCGTGCAACGCTCAGAACTATATTAAGTATGTACTTTTCTATATTCTCTATCGGGAGCGAAATTTTTTCTTTCTTTGTAAATAAAATCGCTATTGCAGTTTTCTTTTGTTCAGACTCAATAGTTTTTATCATCACGATAATTAGTAATAAGATCTCAGTTTTATTAACTTGTGGGTTACCGCCAAAAAAACTTTGGGAATCTCTGACGAAAGTTCCGAGTAAAACAATTATATTTTTGGTTTAAGATTTATTTTCTATTGCATTATCAAGTAAATTATGTGGAGAAAGTTATTAATTAAACAAAATTAATTCAACATTTCAGTGAGCGGTTCGGTCTGTTCGAGGTGGATTACAATTCAGATGAACGCGTCCGCACGCCGCGACAGTCAGCCGCGTACTACTCAAATATTGCTACCACAAAATGCTTACCCGATACATACTCCGGATATAAATTATAGTTTTAAAATAACAATTGTTATAATAAATATAAATGAATACTTACTTAAACATGTAGTTTTTTTATTTTACACGTATTCATGTTGACATAGAACGAAATCTACTGAGGTTTGTTTTCTCGCAGAGCTCTGGCAAGTATGATTAAATAAACTCTAAAACTCGGGTTTTTCTGATGAGGGCCCTCTTAAATATTATTTTTATTACTTTAATTTTTTTTTCTTAGTGACAATACAAATAAATAGTCTGTGAACATATTTCAACTGTTTAGCCAGATTTGGTCCTATTTTTAGCGCTTTGGGACGCTTTTTATTAATATTATATTATACTATTGTTAAATCCTGAAATAAAAGCCAATATCAATATTTTCAAAATATATTTCATATTCATAATACACACATGCTGTCTTCACATAAAACCATTAGCAAATATTTGGAAGACTAAATACAATAAGGACACTTATCATACATCAAAATGTATACCTATCATACAACAACATGACTTTGTTCCCAAAGTACCTCTACATACAACTATAGTAATAATATAATATCCAATAAAGGGTGAGCTACTTTCATACTAAATTGTAACTTTGAATTTAATATAATAATAAATAACTTTTGTAAACGACAAGGACACATTCATCGCCCTTCAAGAATAAGAGAGATGGCAACAGTTTCGATTTAAGTACCCTGCAAGACTTGCAAATATAATACTTAACGTTTATAATTTAATGCTCATTTTCTATCAAAGCACTATTATATTTTATTGCTTTGTTTCAAATATTGAGTTATTATAACACTTTGACACAAAAATTCCTTAAAAATATTACTTAGATTCTAAATTTTAGAACATCCGAAGTACGTACATATTAATAATAAATTCGTATGTTTATTTAAATAAATTGCAATAACAATATTCAAATAATATCGTTCATAAGGCACTCAGTATCTATATGATATATTTCTTTTTATTTTCAGAGGTATGTATTGCGCCTTTAAAATTGATCATAGCAAAATCTCAAAGGCAAGAATGCTAAGTAAGATTATTTTATTTCCACTATATCAACTCGCATAGTTTTGTTTCATATTGTAAAATTAATATTTTTAAAACATAAAAACCATTTTTATGGTTATTTTATCAGGTTCAGATAAAAATTTTAACCAAATAGGTTTCAAACATTTAACATAATAAAAATTCAAATACTATATCATACATTATTCGTACAAATATAAAATTTGATATATAGGAATGTCTACTTAATTTTTTTGTTATAAACTAAAATATTACTGCATTTATAAATAAATACACAATACTCAGCAATTATAGTAACTAAAAAAAATTGTCGTATGGAACTCTGATGACTGACTAAAGTTGCTGATTGTAGAGATAACTGTTGTAACTAAAATTATATGTGATTGAATTTAAATTTTACAAATAAGAACCTTAAAAGTGCAACGCTAAATTTGGACAATAAATTGTATCTATATATATTTAATACGCATTATGAATACTGACTTATTTAAACAATATTTATACTGATTAAGTATTGATATAACATTGACAGAAATACTGAATAAAATAAACGTTTAATATACGAGTAGTTCCAGAGATTAGCGCGTTCAAACAAACAAACAAACTCTTCAGCTTTATAATATTAGTATAGAAGTATTTAAAAAAATAGAAAGCCCTAAAAAAGCATCTCCACTAGATAGCGACTCTAGCAAAAGTTGATTTTTGCAGGAAACGAATGGACTAAAGACAGTCATTTCCGTTAAACTCAAAATATCAAAAGATCATTTCTTCGCATCTTGAAAATTATAGGTACTTATGTCGCCAAGTGCGCCAAGCGCCATAGGTAATTAAATGACAAGAGTATCTGAGTTAATTCACACATCCTACAATGTCGCACTGATTACGATTCGCAAATCATTGAAATCTGCTAGCACTGATATGACTGGTAACGGGGCTGTTCCCCTTAGCGACCTCCGACCTCCCCTACAGTCACCCCATGCCTCGCCTGATTTTTACACACTGTTCTGATCATCAGTCCACCTCCTGATGCTATACATCATCATTACTCTGCCCGTTAATGATGATCTGATATACCCGCAGGTATTTAAACTTACCGACGCATCGGTCACTGATTTAGTACTGATTACACACAATAAGACAAAGCATAGAAACACTATGCACGATTTCACATATAGAAATAGGCCGCTCGTTTTCGCGGTAAGAAAAATATTAACAACTATCTACCGACATGATTTCGCATTCGCAACAACTTACGAATAATTACCGTTTTATTCCATTAAAAAGAATTGCTTAAAAATTAATTTCACCAAAAATATATTTATGGAAATATAATAAATACATCATTAAAACTCGACTGATATGTATAAACAACCGACTGATAGTACAATATGCACTATATACAGGTTGATTCAAAATTACAACAAAACAAATTGGTTAATTTTACTTCGTAAGAATCTGTTAGTTAAAAAATACTAACAGATAGTACTTCAAAAATAAGATACATACAGTTATACTTATTAAGCGAAATACATAGAATACCTACGAAATACAGTAATTGATACATTTTTTATGTAATTACTTCAGTAGGTAAGATGTACTAAATTAATTATGTTACCTAATTATGCATACCTTTAAAGTACCAGTCGATCACGCTGATGACTACTTAGATGCTAAACCTATCACTTAGTAGACGAAAGTTTTTGAAGGTTTAAGCCGAATTAAAGTGAGAAATCAAGTACCTAATTAAACAATACGGTCAGACACATCCAGGAGCGGCCGATCAGAAGTTTAAAAACAAAGAGAAAATGTTCGTCGGCTAGCGCAAAAATTGCGTTCGTACGTCATAGCGGTTGAAGTGGTGGTCCTTCGAATATTTGTATCTTGTAACTAAATAAAGACGCTTGATAAATCTGTATTTACTTAATATAGTATCCTTTAAAAACGTGTTCTTTTAGTTTTATAGTATCTAATAACATTTATATAGACTCAATTAGATTTAGTTTAATTAAAAAATATATAATAAAGGTAATTTTATTTACATGGTTTATCCTATCAAAATAATCCTTTTTATCAGGCACTTTATTATTATACTCGTACTTTATAAGTGCTAGTTTTCTATGTCTTTAGCATAATTGTATTATTTCTCAAATTTTATAATCATAATGACTGACTTATAGAAAAATATTAGATTGATATTATTCTAATGGATGCGGTAATTAAATTTACTCAAAGGAGCACTCTGTATGTCATTAATTAAAATATACACATAGTGATATATCGTTGGGCTCGTGAAACATTTGCAGTGTGCGACCGACAGACGGACAGTGATAACGATGGACCGGCTCTGGAGGGTCACCGGGGTGATAGTTACATTGTTATGTATACGGTGAGTTATATAATGATAACCTTTTTATTTATAACTAGCTTATTCAGTGAACTTCATTTTTTAAACTATTTTCATTCTACAGCAGTGCTATATAAAAGCTTTAAACACGAGAGGAAATCTGTGCTGACAGTTTAAAGCTTTAATGAAATAAAATCTTTATTACCGTTTCATGTAGGTGTTATTTAATTGTACACTGACAGCGCTGCGCTCGTTCTATGCTAGCTCTAGCTGTTTTTAACAGAACTAGCTGTTTCCCACGACTTCACACGCGTAAATTATAGATTAAGTCAACCGCGTATGAGTCATCCATAATGAATGAATTTTTAAGATCTTTTATAAATTAAACTACATATCTAAACTAAAAGAAATCTCTAATGTTATTTTTATTTTGGATAGGCAACGAAATTATATTACAGAATTAGAAAAATAAAAAAAGACTATATAAAAAAAACACAATAAAGAGAAACGCAAAAAATCAAAATCAAAATTATTTATTCAGACTAGGCTGTTACAAGCACTTGTGAAAGTTGAGAGCTACGCCATCGGTTAGTAAATCTACGGCGGGAGACCTTGTACCGAGAAGAACCGGCAAGAAACTCGGCAAGGGCTGCTTCTTTTTCCCTGTTTTATTTCATACAGAGCGTCAAGATTGAAAAATGACTTCATTAAAATATGAAGTCACTTTCCATTACAATATTAGAAAATATAAAAGTAAAATAGTATTTACGTCAATCGAATCCCATGTCTAGTTAATCAAGCTCACCGATAAATAATTTAATATACTTAAAATAAGCCATATTTAACACCAAGCAGTTTTGTCGTTTAAATATTCATTTACAGTATAATATCCTTTACTGACTAGACGATTCTTAATATGCGTTTTAAATTTAGGCAAGGGTAAGTTTAAAATATCCATAGGAATTTTGTTGTAGTATTGTATACCTTGACCCGTAAATGTTGATAGAACCTTCTTTAACCTGCATGACGGCAAAACAAGTTTATCTTTGTTTCTAGTATTAAAATTGTGTACATGACTGTGTTAAATGTAATTGTTAATATTTTTTCTAACATAAAGTATGCAATTGTATGTAAATTGAGAGGCCACTGTTAATATCCCAACTTCTTTGAATTTGTCTCTAAGTGATGTTCTTGAACCCAACTGATAAATAGCCCTTACTGCTCTTTTTTGTAAAATAAATACAGACTCTATATCTGCAGCCATCCCCCACATCAGAATGCCATTTGACATAACGCTATGGAAATAACTAAAGTATACTGTCCTAGCAGTATCTACATCTGTGAGTTGCCTAATTTTTCTTATTACAAAGGCAGCTGAACTCAGTTTTCCTGCCAATAATGAAATGTGAGGATGCCATTGCAATTTAGAGTCCATCGTTAAAAATATTAAAGAAGTATCATCTGCAAACAATACTATATCGCATAAAGTTTCGACAAAGAATGGCAAATCATTTATGTATGTTAGAAACGGAAAGGGACCCAGAATAGATCCTTGGGGAACCCCCATTTTTATTTGTGAACCAGATGATCCCGTACCGTTTGTATCGATAATTTGAGTTCTGAAACTGTAGTACGACAATATTAGTTGTAGGGCAGAGACATTACAACTCGCCGTAATATATTGATTATGCGAAAAGTATAAAAAATACTTGTTTAATATTCTTTAATAATCCATCTGACGGACAGACAAACAAACATTTTCATCATCCTATTCTAGTTTTTGATATTGTCATTAGCTGTTAGATTGGTGAATGTCATTTAGTGTCATTTGCGGTTTTGGGTTGTGCTGATTTTTGTGGTTTCACCAGGAGTTTCACAATAGTTTGAAATTAAAATACAGATTAACAACTATACACTGTGCTTCCAAGTTGTAATATATACAAGATATATGAATGCAACAGTAAAGAAACTGTAATTTATATAAGATAAAAGAATATAATAAAAATAATATAAGATAAAAGAAAAAATAAGATATCTGCTTGGCACCATCAGTTCAATATTGTAATCTATAGAACTATAGGTGCTAATATTATAACGATGAATTATTGAATATTTCTTTGTGTGCTCTGAAAAGATTTGGAAATTACTAGACTGATTTAAAAAAATACATATACGGACAATTACTTATATCATAACGGATGATATAAATAGGTATAACTTACGCGAGAGAAGACATGGGAAAACAGGTAAAAATCATTTATTTAAGTTGTGTAATCATCATATTTCAAATGACCAGTTGGCCTGCTGAAATTTTGTCATCGATTTATTTAAGTTGTGTAATCTATCATATTTCAAATGACAAGTTGGCCTGCTGAAAATTTGCCATTGATCGATATCTCGTAATATATTTATTGATTGATGAGTAAATTTTTTATGATGGTACTCATCACAATAATTTGAAAATAATTGCATTTTAAGTGGCCTTTTTAAAATTCACTCAAAGAGTAAACCACATTTGCGAATTAAGTTACGATTTGTAATTCAATTAAGATATTACAAATATTGTGTAAGTACTGCCATAGATACACATAATCTATGTATTACTAAATAATGTGTACCTAAATAACATTTCTACTATTCGGGTTAAATTTGCTAGTAATACATACCACCTACTAAATTTCGAAGGGAAGAAAAAAAAATTAAAAGGTTTTTAGTGTTTTTTTTTTTCTCTTTCTTAAGATTTATTTTTTAAACTAGTTGTTATTTTTTATATGTTTATTTATTAATATTCTGTAGAGACAGCAAAAATAATAAAAAAAAAAAAGTTTTTAACTCGATAAAAAGACGGTAATGGTTAGCTAATGTGATATTGGATTTTGTCTGAATTTGTATTGACACATAATTATAAGCACAATATTTTTCATTAATCAACAGTAGCAAGGAAATTATCATTAATTTATACCTACTTATCTCATTAGCAAATTAATATCGAAATTAAGAAAAGAGTTAAAACATTTATAAGTAAACAAATTAATGATATAATAATTGGTGCAGTCATTAGGCCTGCTTATTCTTTAGCTATAATAAATTAAATAAATATATATTCCAACGAGTTATCTCCTTAACCGCGGTTCCGTCGGGGCAGCCCTTTGCCAGTACTTTTCCCTAGTATTTTAACGTAAACAGCAATTTGGGTCAATATTAGATATTAGTAAACAAATCATTAATTGAGTACAACGTAGAAGAAAATCTAATGTTCAGGATGTTTATTGTACGCATTTAATTAAATAGTTTTTGGAATACATACAACATATCTTTATTTCATTACTTATTTATTATGCATATAAATAGTATACAATTCTAACTAGTCAATAGTTTGACTTGTATTTGATATGCCAGTTGTATGTATATTTATTAGGATAAAATCATATTATTTTCAAGCTAACTTAAAATTATCCTACTTCCTGGTAGTGGTGTTTATTTGTAAAATGGTTCGCGTTTGTGTGTTTACAGTGGCGGATGCAGCAGTATCGGAACGACGTCGAAACTTTGTTTCCCGAATGAATTCCTCTTCGGCGTCGCGACAGCCTCATATCAAATTGAAGGCGCGTGGAATGTCTCTGGTATATATTTTTTTAAATCTTAAATTATATAATTTTTTTTCATAAGGTATGCAATACAAATATTAATATTTTTGTAGAAATAGTTGCAAAAAACAATTGTCTCAAGTACCCGTAACCCGACTAGACTCGAACCACTGAATCCTTGCTAACACGCAAGTGCCTCTAAGTTAGAAAGAGATTAGTGAATTTTTCAAGTACTTAGTTTCGCTGCAAGTGAGCGTTTTTTAGTATATTTTTTTTTCAAATGAATTTGCATACTTACACGTGTTTCATTTTATTATACATAACATAGCTCTTTGGTAAGGAATAGTGTTATAAATAAATAACCATTTGCTGAAATTCGCGACGAACTTGTTCGTTCTGAGCAAGATCTCAGACACATTTAGTCTAGGAAGTTGTAATCAGACTTGATTTATTATTTTAACGAAAAAATAATGAAATTTTCTGTCTATTTAAATATAGAAGTACTTAGCTGTCATCTCTCGCGTAAATTATAACCTACCCGCGTATGATGTACCTATGTGAAAAAACAAATCTTTCCTATTTATAATATTAAGGATATTATATACATTTTACATGTTTTATCGTCACTTGTTTCCATCCAGGCAAAGGTGAGAACATTTGGGACAGGTATACTCACACTCGTCCAGAGCGTATCTTCGACCACAACACCGGCGACGTGGCCGCCGACTCCTACCACCATTACAAGCAGGACGTCAAGCTGCTCAAGGACCTGGGAGTCAGTTTCTACAGATTCTCTATATCGTGGTCCCGGATATTGCCTACAGGACTTACCAAGTAAATAAACAGCTTGCTTTCTAATCTATATTTTCACGCAAGATCCTTTATAAGATAGAGTGGTTCACTAATCCAATCTCTCTTTCTAGATACACGATTATTTGTGTTTTGGCTTCTGTAATCACCCCCGATATATGCGATTATAAAAGATATCTCTTGGTACAAAAGCTTTTACAATAAATTTTAAAAGCTGGTTTAGGAATCATAGTACAAATTAACACAGTTCTGGAAGTTAATTTTCAAAGTAAAGACAATCTATTTAAGACAACTCTGATACAAGATGTAAAAATTAACATTCAATAGGTTTCAATTTTGTAATATCTTTATTCATTTCCACTTAATGACTAATGTATCTTACGCAATTAGAATTTACATCAGCTTTTAAGCATTTACATTCATCAAAATTTCACCAGTGAAATAAATCAAGACGGCATAAAATACTACAAGAATGTGATCGAGGAGCTTCGTCGGAACGGCATCGAGCCGCTGGTGACCATGTACCACTGGGACCTGCCGCAGCCGCTGCAAGACCTGGGCGGCTGGACCAACCCCGTCATCGCTGAATACTTCTTCGATTACGCAAAGGTAAAAGTTACGAGGTGGCCAATTAGTTTTATCAGTGTTGCTCAAACTGTCAACGTGACGTGCCCCCAACCAAAATAAACGTTCAAGACAATAGCGATCTTAAATATTTTAATGGGTGATTAATATTCGGTAATATTATGACTAGTCCTATTTTTATCTGGCAATAAATGTACATCAGTGGTCCCTGACAGCAGGTTGTAGTTCGCATACGTACTGTAATAGTACGTATTATTAAATAAAATTAAGCATGGCATGGCAACGAACATGACACGACATATTGTAGTGTAATACCATAATACTATAGGGCACCCCCAGCGCGGCAAGGCATACTGTTATTTTCGGCTTTAATAAACAAAAGTACAATTAGTATTTATAAGCTGCAATTAAAAATGTAAAAGAAAACATTGGCAAATATTTCTTTCTTGGCAAGTCCCTAGATGGTGCTGTTCTTTTCTCATTAAAAAAAAAAACCCTTGTTTAGTAGTGTTTTGGGCTTAGTTGTAGAAAAATATTTATTGCAAGAATGATAACCTTACCATCCCTTAAGTGCCTTATAGAAGGTTCTTTTATAATTATAACTTGAATTTTTTTATTATTACTATTGCTGTATCTTATTGTTTTTATGCGTTTAACACTCGGTTTCCGAATTGAGAATTTAAAGTTAAACACGTCTCAAACCGTAGTACCGTACGTCTCATTTAGATAAGTTACCGTTTCTGATTTAAATTTTATAAACGATCAGATGATAGAAGTTCGATAAACACTGGGACTGGGTAAAACTTAAAAAACTTAACTTATTGAGAATAATCAGCTGAGATTTTGTACTTATCTCAATTCAGAAACAGTAAGTGTTATTAAATATATCTTATTTGCCTAATATTATATTTGATTGAACAATAAAATCCTATTGTAACCCAACAGGTCCTCCTAGATAACTTCAGCGATAGCGTCAGGTTCTGGTTAACATTCAACGAGCCGTTTACGTTTTGTCACGACGGGTACGGCGGCAGCGACGCGCCCGGCGACCGCTCCAGCGGCATGGAGGACTACCTGTGCGCGCACACCGTGCTGCGGGCGCACGGGGCCGTCTACCGCATGTTCCACAGATATTACAAGCCGATAAACAATGGTACGTTTTAAGTCGACGTTACGGATAACACATCGGAAAGGCGTCCATAAAAAATAATGACAAATTAAATGATCAATATAGGTACACCAATGAAAGAATGTAATTTTACCAATAGCAAAAGAATCGTGTTCAAAGAAAGATATTTTTAAGATTTAAATTATTATTTATTTAAATAATAAATTATTATTTTTTTAAATAAATTTCTAGTTTGCCACATGTCTCAAATACGAGCGCCATAGGCAAACTACGCGCGTAGCTCGTTCCTAAAGGAGAAGTTTTTGAGAGAAGAGAACAGTAAACGAGTAATTATAAACTGTCGAGGAAGTATTTAATGCAAAGTTTAGACATAGGTTTCCTACAAACAATATTTATGGTTATATTTAAGAATATTGTTAAAGGCAAAAAGTTTGTGGAAAGAAAATAGAACAATAATATTTTGTTGATAAATATCATTTTTAAAACGACGCAGTCCCAACGTTGACAGTAAGTAGCATAAATAAATTCATAGGTATAAAACGAGGTTGACGACATCGCTCAATGCAATGCGTTTTGCAAAGTGTTTTATATTCAATAAACTAGAAAACCGATTTCAAGTCAATCTGTGTTGAAATCGGTTTCCCAGGGGGTCGACATTGACGAAAACTGATTTTGGGGGTCAAGAAGAGAAAAATCGACGATACTTATCAAAATAGATATTTTTTGTAATTACAGTAAAATTTATTTATACATATCCTGTTTTAGGTTTAATGGGCATAACGCTCGACCTAGCCTGGATTGAACCCGCGTCCACGTCGGTGGAGGACCGCGAGGCCGCCGAGATCGCACGACAGTTCATCGTCAGTAAAATAATACCATTATATTAAAATATACATCATATTAAATTGCATTTTGGACTTCGTAGTGAATTCGTACCATTTGATTTCAGTTTGGATGGTACGCGCACCCAATATTCACAAAGGATGGTAATTATCCTCCTGTCATGCGCAAGTTGATAGACGAAATGTCAACACGGCAGAACTTTGTGAGGTCACGTCTACCCCACTTCACTATTGAGGAAGTGGAGATGATCCGGGGCGCTTACGATTTTATGGGATTAAACCACTACACAACGTACCTGGCTACGAAGACCAGTCGGCCGATCAGTCCTATACCCTTCTTCGACGCCGATATGGGAGTGAAGTTATCACAGAACAAGGATTGGCCTAAATCAAACTCTACATGGTTGAAGGTAAAGATTTTGTGATTTCAATAAGATTTCAGCACATTTCTTCCCTTACCTATGAGATTTTTATTATAGAGTTTCCATTTCACATAATTTGGTATTAAAGCCAAAAGATTTCTTTGAATGCTATACATTCAGTTATTGCAGGACGATACAATAATTATTTTATTATAAAATTCCGCTAAAATTTTACTAAATAATAGCATAATATTTACATCTAGGTGGTACCATGGGGCCTCAGGAAGACACTCAATTGGATTAAGAGCACATACAACAACCCTCCAGTGCTGATCACCGAGAACGGTATATCTTTGGAACCAGGTTTACACGATCCACGCCGAATCAACTATATAGACGGGTATGGCTGTTTTTATATAATCATCTAGCTGTTTTCCCGCGACTCCACCTGTATAAATTCTAGCCTATGTCACACGCGTATGATGTAACTCCATGTAGATTTTTGAAACAAGCCCGGTAGTTTCGGAGCCCTTTCAATGGAACAAACAAACAATTAAATTTGTCCTATAATATAAGTATAACAATATGACGTTAGATTTTCATTTGTCCAATAGAATTTGTCCATGGTTCACGTGATAATCTCTGCTGTCATGTATCTTGTGCCGATTCCATGGGTATAAAAGTTTATGATGGAAAATGGGGCAAGACACTTGCATATACTTAAAGTCTCGACAGTATCACTGTTCAAAAAACATACGTATTGGATTTAAAAGGCTTATATTATAGTGTTTATTAATTTTAAAGTGTAAATTATAACTGCAATAGCACATGAGAAAAAATACTAAATACATAAAAAAGCATAAAAGATTCAATTTTTTTAATCCTTTTCTATATATTACACAAAAGTCCAATTTTATCGAGAAACATAATCACATCCCCTCCACTATCGCCTATAACTCCGGAGTTCATATTTTTTTCTGCAAACACAAAGCAAGAGAAACCATAAAATATGTAACATTTCAGATATTTGAGAGCCCTTCACGCAGCTATAACCAAAGATGGATGTAACGTATACGGGTACACCTACTGGAGTCTTATAGATAACTTTGAATGGACCAGAGGATACTCGTGAGTAATATTATTCATTATGTTTCCAATAAAAAAATATCGCTGATTTTATATTAGTACTAGCTGTTTATTCCCGCATATATTATAGCCTACGTCACCCGCGTCTGATGTAGCTTTCCGTAGGTGATAGAATTTTCATGATCTGATTTGATTTGAGAATTGCCCCCTACCGTGAAACTTTACCCCTTTATTATATTAGATTGGTATAAACTAACTTAAAAATGAATAATTATTCTTAGATTAATATAAGACGCTTTCTGGCCTCGCCGTGCAACGCTCAGAACTATATTAAGTGTGTATTTTTCTATATTCTCTATCGGGAGCGACATTTTCTCTTTCTTAGTAAATAAAATCGCTATTGCAATTTTCTTTTGTTCAGGCTCAATAGTTTTTATCATCACGATAATTAGTAATAAGATCTCACTTTTATTAACTTGTGGGTTACCGCCAAAAAAACTTTGGGAATCTCTGAAGATAGTTCCGGGTTAAAATTTTATAATTTTGGTTTAAGATTTATTTTCTATTGCATTCTAAAGTAAATCATGTGGAGAAAGTTATTAATTAAACAAAATTAATTCAACATTTCAGTGAGCGGTTCGGTCTGTTCGAGGTGGATTACAATTCAGATGAACGCGTCCGCACGCCGCGACAGTCAGCCGCGTACTACTCAAATATTGCTACCACAAAATGCTTACCCGATACATACTCCGGATATAAATTATAGTTTTAAAATAACAATTGTTATAATAAATATAAATGAATACTTACTTAAACATGTAGTTTTTTATTTTACACGTATTCATGTTGACATAGAACGAAAACTACTGAGGTTTGTTTTCTCGCAGAGCTCTGGCAAGTAAGATTAAATAAACTCAAAAACTCGCGTTTTTCTGATGGGGGCCCTCTTAAATATTATTTTTATTGCTTTAATTTTTTTTCTAAGTAGCAATACAAATAAATAGTCTGTGAACATATTTCAACTGTTTAGCCAGATTTGGTCCTATTTTTAGCGCTTTGGGACGCTTTTTATTAATATTATATTATACTATTGTTAAATCCTGAAATAAAAGCCAATATCAATATTTTCAAAATATATTTCATATTCATAATACACACATGCTGTCTTCACATAAAACCATTAGCAAATATTTGGAAGACTAAATACAATAAGGACACTTATCATACATCAAAATGTATACCTATCATACAACAACATGACTTTGTTCCCAAAGTACCTCTACATACAACTATAGTAATAATATAATATCCAATAAAGGGTGAGCTACTTTCATACTAAATTGTAACTTTGAATTTAATATAATAATAAATAACTTTTGTAAACGACAAGGACACATTCATCGCCCTTCAAGAATAAGAGAGATGGCAACAGTTTCGATTTAAGTACCCTGCAAGACTTGCAAATATAATACTTAACGTTTATAATTTAATGCTCATTTTCTATCAAAGCACTATTATATTTTATTGCTTCGTTTAAAATATTGAGTTATTATAACACTTTGACACAAAAATTGCTTAAAAATATTACTTAGATTCTAAATTTTAGAACATCCGAAGTACGTACATATTAATAATAAATTCGTATGTTTATTTAAATAAATTGCAATAGCAATATTCAAATAATATCGTTCATAAGGCACTCAGTATCTATATGATATATTTCTTTTTATTTTCAGAGGTATGTATTGCGCCTTTAAAATTGATCATAGCAAAATCTCAAAGGCAAGAATGCTAAGTAAGATTATTTTATTTCCACTATATTAACTCGCATAGTTTTGTTTCATATTGTAAAAGTAATATTTTTAAAACATAAAAACCATTTTTATGGCTATTTTATCAGGTTCAGATAAAAATTTTAACCAAATAGGTTTCAAACAGTTAACATAATAAAAATTCAAATACTATATCATACATTATTCGTACAAATATAAAATTTGATATATAGGAATGTCTACTTCATTTTTTTGTTAATAACTAAAATATTCCTGCATGTATAAATAAATACACAATACTCAGCAATTATAGTAACTAAAAACAATGTCGTATGGAACTCTGATGACTGACTAAAGTTGCTGATCATAGAGATAACTGTTGTAACTAAAAATATAATTGAATTTAGCTTTTACAATTAGAACCTTAAAAGTGCAACGCTAAATTTGGACAATAAATTGTATCTATATATTTAATACGCATTATGAATACTGTCTTATTTAAACAATATTTATACTGATTAAGTATTGATATAACATTGACAGAAATACTGAATAAAATAAACGTTTTATATACTAATAGGTATATAAACTGTATATTCTTATAATTACTATTACAGTAATAAATACATATGACGCTGTAGAAAATTCATCTTAAAAAGAACTCAACTACCTTGTAATAAGATTCCAATTAGGTAGTTAATAATAATAATAATTTCATTACATTTTCATAGATTTTTAAAACGCATTATCCGTTGATCGATATAAATAACGTAATAGCCGACCAATTTAAATTGCTTGAATTGCAGTGACCAAAAAAAGTGTTACGTATGTAAAATTAGTGGGTTACCTCCACAATCAGCGGGCCGGATCCGTGGGCGTGAGAGCGGGCTCAGGACTGTGGCATCTTGCACTGGCTGCAGACCTCCATGCCGTCGCTGAACTCTTCAATCTGCAGCGTCATCTCGAAGAAGTTATACTTCTCGTGAACCAAACGTGTCGCCTCCTCTAGAACTTTCTGGGGGCTCACTCCGGACCCTGGTGAGAATGTATATATGTATTTTTTTTTTACTTCATTTTTGCTTCTTTAATAAATATATAATTCCAACTCTCAAACCCTCACTGTGTTAAGATTTAAAATCAATTTGGAAACGATATTGTTCGTACCATATAGCATCACAGGTACTAAGGTAGGTAGGTTTTATTTATATGTATTTTACCATTGGTTTTAAGCCACAAAAACTTGATTCGTTAAGAGTGAATTTGGGTTGTTGCAAGTACAAAAAAGGCATTTTCTTTTAAAGAATTTTTAGAAGCGTAAACTATGGAGTATCTGAGACAACAAATACTTTTGTTAATACCACAACACCCAGACCCGACACATTATATAAAAATTCAACTTTCGACATTGACCCGACAGGGAATAGAACCCGGGACCTCAGATAAGACATCACCATGAAACCAACATGCGAACTACCCGTCTGTGAAGGTCGTCATTCTATACAGCTCCTAGTGATAACAAGGCTCTTGAGAATACAGATAAAATTATGCTATCTACTGTATCTCTCTCGAGTAGAAGTGTAACGGTGTGCCATGCCACCGTTTGTTTTCCTAGGTTTCAGTATGCAAACTTTTTGTTTTTGAAATTTAACATCATTTCATTTTATTATTCGTCTTTCGTAATTTAAAATTTTGACTAATCAATTATACTCTTTATGGATGTCAGTTCGTAAGAAATTCTTCTATGCACAACATGAAAATTAATATACAGTGTTAATCGTATAAATTTTATTATATAATTTTAAAATAATTTATTGATTGTGATAAAGAATGTGATATTGTGATACAAATTATATAACATATTTACTAAATTGCAATCTGTATTTTGGACGATCCAAGAGTTTAACTAGAAGCCCGACAAGGGTTTCTTATTTACTCTTATACAATTAATAAATCTATGCTCAAGCTAATCAGCCTTATTAATTGACCCAAGCACCGAACCCGTCACAGAAGTAATTATTTAAGCACATATTTTTATCCAATAGACGAGAACTTGAATGAAATAACCAGTGCTTGAAAGATTCCTCAGCCCTGTTAGGTCCTAGGCACCTCAGCGGTTAGAGCAGTCGCCCGGATTGAGAAAGGCCGTGGGTTCGAATCCCATCGCAGGGTGCCAGGGACCAAGTGGATTTTTTAAGCATTTTGTATTAAGAATAAATAGTATTGTTTTTTTATTGTAATGGTTTTTTCAAGTAACCATTTCTCTCAAGTAACGTGTTAGAAACAAAAAAAGGATAATAATAGCAATAGCAAATCACATCACCAGCCCTTTTACGTCCCCACTGTAGGGGCTCAGGCCTTTCTTATGGATGGTAAAGGAGGATGGGCCATGACCTTCCACGCTGGCCCAATGCGTATTGGAGGGTATTAACGACTGCAAATGCAGCCGGGACCAACGGCTTAACGTGCCTTCCGAAGCACGGAGTAGCTCGAGATAATATTTTTTTGGTCACCCATCCCGTGACCGACCCTTGCGAAAGTTGCTTAACGACAACGATCGCGGGCCGCGGCGCTTATCCACTACGCCACCGAGCTACTCAATAGTAAATACATGTGGAATACTCACGTATGGCGAGGTGAGCGGACAGCGCGGTTTTGTCTAATGAAAGCGCCCACATGCGCAGGTTGTGTACTCGCAGCACTCCCGGCAACGACAGGAAAGTATTCGCCACCTCCTAATAAAGTATTATATCAACATCATTAGTTACATAACCAAGCCTTCCTCGATAAATGGTCTATTTAACACAAAAAGAATTTTTCAATTCGAACCAGTAGTTCCTGAGATTAGCAAGCAAACAAACAAACAAACTCTTCAGCTTTATAATATTAGTATAGATGAGGAAGTATTAAAAATATAGAGGCCCTAAAAAAGCACCTCCACTAGATGGCGTTCCTTTTAACTAACATATAAAAAAAACTGATATTTGCAAAATTCGAAACTTAGATATCAATACAAATACGAAACAGTGCAAAAATATGAGTTTTTTATAGAGTTTCGAAAACTGATTTACTTTTATACATGAGAGAAAAGCGGAAGTGTTGTCATGGAGAAATCAAGAAAGTACCGTATCGACATCTAGTTTGATTTCGGGAACTATTTTTTTTTAAATACTTCTACTCTCAGTACTACTACTCAGTTCCCTTCGGTATAACAAAAAAAAAGTGAGTGAAACATGTGAATCTGCATCAATATTTGCACTAAAAGTGTTATCTAAAGTTAATATATTTTGATATATTGTTCTTTACCTGGAAATCGACGCCTCTAGGGGAGCCCTCCATCAGAACTAACAGCGTGTCCTTGATGATGTTAAAGGTGGTAATCAGTACCAGGATGGAGAACAGGAACGTGCAGATTGGGTCGACCAGGTTCCATTCAGGCTGTAAATATAATTTTACTAATATAAATATTAACATTATTTTCGTTACCCTATTAATGTCCCTGTTGTTGCCAGATCGTAGAATAGGCTTGTGTCCAACAAGTGAAAATACAGGTTTCTGGTACATGTTCGATAAATATAAACAATTTTAACTTATAAATATTTAACAAATGTTATGACACCGATTTGAAAAATAATAAGCTTCGAAATCTTGAAAAAAGTAGGGAAAATATACTGCAAAAATGCTAAATTACATATGGCATTAAATTAGGCAAAAGCTAGTGTTGTATAATGCATAGTGTGTAGTGATGATAGTGTGACAGAGTGAGTGCGATTGTCCTCTCTGTCTGACCTTGTAGTATATGACGATGGCGGCGACGAGTACACCGAAGCTCTGCAGGAAGTCACCCAGCACGTGTATGAAGGCGGCGCGCACGTTGATGTTCTCCTGGTGCGAGTGATGGTGGGACTCGGAACTCTCCGTGTCTACATCGCGCCGCTCCTTCTGGTGGCATACCGATACCGAGTTAGAAACGTTTCAACCCCACTCACAACAAACCTTTTCACTTGTTAGATCATAAAACAGAATTTATAAGTTTTTTTTTATTTACTCTCAAAAAAAGACTTGATAACACAGTAGTTTCGGTAGTACTTACGTCAATAAGTCACGAAACTGCACAAAAACTAAAATTTACACTGTAATATACATAGATATTGATTTTGAGTCATACAATGGCATGATTATCTTAAAATTAAAAGTTGAGATTTTTTGTGCGTGTGTCACGTGACTTGAACCATGACCCGCCATTGTGCGACGTCACTCTGGCGACAGCTGTCATATTAGACGTTAACAATTTCTATTTATTAAACATCAAATTCATAGAAGGCGCTGTTCTTAACTTATTTATATCTTTTTATTTTGTAAATGACCGTTTAATGGGACTGTTCTAGTTTAATGGACATATAATTTTTATCTACTACTCTGTGCATCTTTTTTGGTCTGTTTTGTATACACCCGAATGACGTCATGATATGTCGGACATCGTTTTCGTGGGTATAAATAAAGTAAATTAAAATTAAGACAATACCGAAATATTTGTGTCATGGCTTATTTACAACCCCATTTATCCATCCACTGCTGTCGTTGTTTTTGTCATACTTGTGAATCCAAAAAAAATATGAGTAAAAGAAATCAAATCTTGAACCAAGTACAAACACAAATATTTGAAGTTTTGTATTCTATCAAAAATGCACTAAGGTCTACATTTAAAGAGGACGTCTCATTTAATCTAATCATCGAGAACACGATTTCCGAATTACGCGCTTCCATGAATTTTGAACTGTAAGTCCAGTCGATAAGATTGATTGTAGCGCACCTTGTTGTTGAGCACGGGGTTACTGGCGCCGTGGCTGTGGCCGTGCCCGCCGCCGCCGTGGCTGTGCCCGTGCTGGTGCAGCGTCAGACCCATGCTGCATCAAACCAATAACACTGGCATTCATATCATATGAGCAACTAAACGATTATATTGAGTCTCTTCGTACTTCAAAACGAACCTTTATCGTTTTTAAAAAGAAGTTAATGTAGTAAATAAAATATACCGAATAAGATTTTAAGGATGGCTACAGGGTAGGTACTATCAAAGATATGAATCTTGAAGTGGTGACCTAATTGGAAAACGGGTTGACAAATGAGGATGAACGATTTCGAGCGCAAAATAATAAAAATAAACAGTTCACAGACACATGATACAGTAAGTGACAATACAAACGGTCTAACAACTGTATTATGGTAATTAAAAAAAATATTTTTTTTAAATAAAACACGTGAGTATAAATCTTTCAGTAGGTACGTACCTACCTCTTCGGACTAAGGATGCGACGCCTTAATAATTTGATAAGTTTTTTAAGAATTTATCAATTTCAAAGTTCCCTTGTGACAATTCATTGTCTCTGCTACATCTGCAGTCGTTAATACTCACCGATCCATACTAAACTTTGTGGTTAGTTATGTCCCGTTCACACGGTATTTTCATAAGGAAGAGCCGTATTTGAGCAAGGGGGCAGCATTAAAAAACACTTTGTCAAATAAACGATAGTTTTGTACACTACAGTACTAGTTCTCATGCTTTAATACTAACCTATTCAGAATGTTCTGTACGTTTAAAGAAATTCGTAAATAGTGAAATGACGAGTGGGATTGAATGAGTGCGAGACAGTTAGTGCGACTGCGTGGTAAGTATAACTGACTTAAGATTGGCGATGATGAGTGTAAGACCGTGAGTACGTGTGTGAAGTAAGTACAACTAAAATGAGATTGAAGGGTATGAGTGTGAGAGTGTGAGTGAGTGCGCGTGGTGAGTACACTCACATGAGATTGACGGCGACCCCCACTGCGGAGGTGATGAGCATGACGGTGGCATCGATCTCGAACTGTTTGTATATGACGCGCTGCACCGCCATGTACACGAGCACGCCCGTCACCACCCAGATCAGGAGCACCGACGTCAGCGCGCCTATCACCTCCGCGCGGTACCAACCGAACGGCATACTACGCACAGATGAATACAAAACATTTAACACTAACTTTTAACCAGATCCTAGCTAACGATTTACATTAAATAGAAAGCGCAAGACTTTATTTTATTAATTTTATCTCAGAAAAAAATAGTAACACAAAAATTTTGTTCTTATATATATTTAAAGCATGAAATCATCAATAAATATTGTAATTTCTTTATAAATCCGATGTATTACCTATTTATTTTTCTGATTTATAAATGATACTTTTTAATTTCCAAAAATAATAGAAGTTTTTCATATTAAATAACAACACTCACCGTCTTGTTGCAGGCCTGCTGGCGACCCATAATGAGAACAGTGATATCATAAAGCTAGCGAAATCTGTCAGTAGATGAGCCGCGTCTGTCGCTATAGCTAAACTGTTTGATATATAACCACCTGCAAATAACACGTTATAATAGATAATCAATCACCATGTCAAGAAAAGGTGAGAGATTGAGTAAGGAAGAGAGAGAGAGAATAATTAAATCAAATTTATTGGACGCTGTCCGTATTTTTCACGCGTGTGCAACTATTATAGTGTAGTACAGCTATTCTCAACCTTTTTGCTGGTGACCTAAAATTAAATATGTTTAAAACACACCATCTCTTTTCTCTGTAAAGTTAAGTCATAAAATAATGGAGTGAACTAAAAAGTCATGATTTGCTGCAATTGATGTCATTATAAAACATTACAAATTCAGTTAGGATGATTTAAAAAATGACATTACATTGCATGACAATAAAATTAGTCCACGGCATGTTAGTTTACTACGAAATGCCAATTTTCACCGACTAATTTTAATAGATTTTATTTTATTTTTAAATATGTTTTAACAAATTTAAGTTGGTTTACTTATTTATTAACAGTATTAGACCGTTGTTTTTAATGATAATTTGCGATAATAAGTAGGTACATGAAATTCAATTTACATTCGCCGTATAATTAATTACCATTGTTACAGTAAACAATGACGGTACATAAATTTAAAAAATACCTTTCAACAATTTGTTGTGTTTTCACTGGAAAATAATGCAATTTCGATATGATTTCAGACTTTTTCAACGATAATTTTAGAGTTTCAATAATTATATACAAAATTATTTCTAGAAAATTTGTGGTAACCAGATGTTGCTGCTGCAGTAACGTACTCACCTACAATTTCTCCTATCATAAATATAACACACAATATACTGGCTATGATGAGTTTTCTTCGGGCACGTTTGTCTATTTCTTCGTTTCTCGATCTGTGACAATGTCCTGAAATAAAATATAAACAATTTCAATTACGAATTATACGATTCTTAAGTGAACCGACTTTATCAGTTATGACAAGAATTTATTTTTTATATTTTCAATTAGTTTTAATAATAGCTTTCGGAAACGTTTCAAATTTTTTATTTATATCAAACTGACAGATTTTTCATCTCATTTAATTTATGTAGCGTTACAAAAGCGCTGATTGTTAAGAGTATCAATTAAAATCTGTCAAGCAAGAGTGAACCTTAAACCTTTCCGATGATTATTTACCATATGGTATGTTTTTCAGGTGTTAAAGATAGGATATAATGCCATTACATTTTATAACACTCTTTGATCAGATTTGAGTATGCTGAAAACGAGACTATTTTACAAAGTACCGATTAAGTAGTCTCTCAAACTTACTTTCGACTTCTGTTATACTGCCGTTTGGCTGATCACCATCATCATCGCCGGTTGTTGTCTCTATCATCGCGCAGCAACCAGTGGACGGGTTGCCGTGTACGCAGAATATAACCCGACGCCCTTTCGCCGGACTCTCTGTGCCGTACGTCGCCTTGCCATCATTGAAACTGAAATAAAACAGATAGCGTATTATCTATACTAATATTATAAAATTCGAATTGAAAAATTCTTTTTGTGTTGAATAGACCATTTATCGAGGAAGGCTATAGGCTATATAACATCACGCTGTAACTATTAGGAGCGAAGAAATAATGGAAAACGCGGACGAAGTCGCTGGCGGCCACTAGTAACATATAAAACAGTATTTATATTCCAAAGGTGTTCGACAGTAATTTGTGAAATACGATTGCCAGTAGACCATTCTTTCAGTTTTTATATAGTAAAACTTTTTATCCTCATACGTCTCTAAAGGTTCTATTAGCGAGAGATAGATAGTATTTTTGTTATTTTATTCCAATTTTTTAACCAAGAGCATTTCGAATGGAATGACCCCTTGATGCGCCAAGCGATACCTCACATTGAACAGATCTTGGATGTATTGTTAATGAAAACTGGACTAATATATACGAAAACATAACATTTTCAATTGGTAAACCATTCTTCATCCACTGACCAGAAGTCCTTTGGAACTAAGTAAAAGTGGACATCTTAGTTTCCTTTTTTTTAATTTCTAATTCATTTTTTAACACCGAAAAGACTGAATCTCTTCATTAAGAAGCACACAATGTATACTTGTTAATTTAACTAATGGATAGCGAAGCATTGGCGCTTTATCCACAAATTAGTAATGGAGAGTTAGATTTATTAAGGGATATAATTTGTTTACATTAAAAAACAAAAAGGATTTTTTTTGTGACAATAAGCACAAAAATGCGCAGTCGACCAGATTTGGTACAGTAAGTTATCTTTATTCATCGCTGATTTTTTTACAGAATAAATATAAATATTAGACAAAATCACCTATCTGATACCCGAAATAATATAGAAAAGTCAATTTACTACATTATCCGACCGGGAATCGAACCCGGGTGTTTAGAGATGGCGGCACTCGGCTACGGAGGTCGTCGAAGCAACACTACAGATATAAAATTTTTGAAGTTCATCATTTCCGTAGTTAATTAAAAAACAATACGATGTAGTGATTCCCGATTCGCACAGTATAGGTCATCAAAACAATATCAGACTATCAAAACAAATATATACATAATAGATTATCAATTCCCACGTTACACGTCTAGTTCTATTTATAAACATGATCGCTACAAGATCAACAGTAGACGTATCGAAATAGGGTGAAAATACATGAGTAGTTGTTTTTGGTCATGGTACAAGATTTTGTTTTACGGTTGACTTTCAACTACTTTTTCTTAAATATGAATTTTCAAAAGACGTATGTTTACCAATGTTTCTACTCCAATATGTTCAATGCAGAATGAACAGAAATTCCTTTGCCTAACAAAAAATTGAATTTAAAAAGCTTTGCCGTTTTAGCGGTCTTCTCGAACTTCTTGAGTTTGAGAACGCGTGTGGGCTATAGCCACAAATATTAAATAAATGATAAGTAAAGATGTGTGTAAAAATAAATTTTACAGTGAACCGAAGAAAAGAAACGACCTATGGATAACTAACATCGAGCGTCGCACACAACTCATATATAAATTAGTTCATCGAGAATCATTCACATACCGTCAATAAAACAATTAAAAATTCCACTAATTTTGTTTTTCCATTCGCAAATTACTAATGATTTCTATTCCAGACAAATGGAAAGTGTACAAGGGAAGTTCCTACAGTGCCTATCCTATCGACAAGATCTACCTCGTAAACTAAGATCTTAAAACGAGATATTGTCTTGGTTTAATGTTGGAATCCTGGAAGGTAGACGAAAGCAAAATGATTTGATCTATTTGCATATAATTATTCATTCATATATTGAGTCATCCTTATTATCCTCCATAAATTTCAATATTTCCTATAGAACGCGTAATCCGAAAACATTTTCATTGCAACTTTCGTCGCAATCATCGCAAAATATGGTTTAATATCATTTTAAATTATTTGAAAAAATTCAATTTGTTTTTTAAGATTTTTTTTTTTATTAATATTTAGAATAATTTTTTTTTTTCTTCGTATGTGCCGCCTATACAATGAGATAAACTTATGATGACATAGATATATTCATTCAAAAAGAAAGTATTGTCACTATTTAATTCAACAAATATGTCTTCATAATTAGCATCTACATACCAGTATCAGACTGTTTCCTATTTTTCAAAATTCAACTTAAATTAAAATTAATATCATAAGTTTAAATGCTGCTCAACTTTAACCATCATAGGGATACATATTATTGGATATACATATTATTAAGACTAATAATAATTTTGTAATATATATATATCGCATCATATCGAAAATGGTAATAAGTACCTATTGATCAATTAGTTACCGATAATATAACATTAATCATATAGTTTCAAGGTAATGATGTTATAAACAATCAAAACGTCTTATCATTATAACATTACCTTATCAACACCTTAGTATGATTATTCTTTAATTCAGTAATAAAATAACAATATTACATAAATCGGACAAGTTTTTTTTTGTAATTCTTTCAAGAACGTTTCTTTGCTAGCAAGTGCAATGCAGTGGATCTATAATAACAAGACATATTAAGTTAACTTGTTACGGGTTCGGTGGTTCGTCAATTAAATAGGCTGATCAGCTTGAGTATAATTTATTAAAGTAATAAGGGTAATAATAAAAAACTGTAACAAACAAAAATAAATTTAAAAAACAGTTCGTAAGTTACTTAAACTAATACATTCTTATCAAATAAACGAATACATACCCCTTGTCGGGCTTCTTGTTACACTTTTGGATCGTACAAAATACAGTTTTAATTTAGTAAATATGTTATATTATTGTATCACCATAATATATGAATTATTAAAATTACATAGTAAAATTTATACCAATAATATTGTATTATATTATAATTTCATCTTGTGTATAGGAGAATTTCTTACGAACTGACATCCATAAAGAGTAAAATTGATTAGTCAAAATTTTAAATTACGAAAGACGAATAGTAAAATGAAATGATGTTGAATTTCAAAAGCAAAAAGTTTGCATACTGAAACCTAGGAAAACAAACGGTGACATGGCACACCGTTACAATACCGGGGGGGCCGGGGTTAAAAAAAAATCTGAAAGATTTTTTTTTAGATATTCTTGGATTACTCAAGCTTAAAATATTTTATATAAAATGTGATTAATTAATGCTATCATGATTTAATTTAGAAATGGGGATGGTATATATAGTGGATAAATTACATTAGGCGATTTCCCTTTCATAAAATGTTCTTACTTCATCATTCAAACATCATTCAAACAATCTTTATCTTATTAAGATAAAAATTCCTAGCAATTAGAGGTAACTTGTATTTAAGAAAGATTATCTCTAATAAATCGACCTAGAAAATAGTGTAGGCTTCTTTAAAATAATGTCAGTCACCACCCGCTGACTTTAGGTGAATTGTGTAGTGTTGTTGAGTGTAGATGAGTGTGTTGTGTAAGTGTCTAAATGTAGAGTGTAGAATAATATACAATCGTAGTAATAAATAAAGTAGGTAATGCGTTAGGTATAACAATACATTATGTAGTGTTAGATAGTAAGTAAATAAGTATACATAAGTACACAAAGAAATATTTTGATATTGGCTTATTTATAGTGTTATCAACCGCACTTTAAAATTGATATTTGACATTGGCTTGTTTATAGTGTTGTCGTCCGCACTAAATTGGTATTTTGACATTGGCTTATTTATAGTGTTGTCATCCGCACTAGATGAAAATAATAAATTATGAAGACAATTAACAGTATGAGTAGCTAAATAATTAAATGAAAAACGTTATGAGTATTTACAGGGTACAATAAATAAATAAGTAATAATTGGTAACAATAAATAGATTAATAATGTTTAGATATGGGTTTAATATTTTGAATGTGCCAGCGTCCTAAAGGTTTATTTGACAAATCTGCTAAATCGTAAATTAATGGACTGACTTTGTTAGTTATAATACATTTTGTAAATTTAGGTGCTAATTTGGATGAAAAATATTTATCTGAAGAACTAATAGGATAATTTTTCTTCCAAACTATGTTGCCTTTTTCAAATTCAAGATGTTGGTGGTGTTTATTATAATATTTCGTTGTAATTTTATGTGCTTTGTAAAGTCGTGATTGTACATCTGAAAAAATTGGGATCAAGGAGCCAATGTTTTCAGCATATACGTCTCTAGGAGCAAAAATTATTTCTTCAGTTAAATCTTTTGTATTGTATATGGAACCACAGGTAACTAATTCACGTCCGAATACTAAAAATGCTGGCGTGAATTTAGTAGTTTCGTTGACGGCAGAGTTGATTGCGAATTGGATTTTATTTAAATATAAATCCCATGTACGGTGATCATCATCAACGAAAGACGAGATTGCTGTAACTATAGTTTTATTATAACGTTCAACTGTATTTACTTGTGGACAGTACCTGGGAGTGAAAAATATTTTGGGTATCTTGTAAAAATTAAATAAATCTTTGAGTTCTTGGCTAATCATTTGAGGGCCATTGTCTAAAATTATAGTTTCAGGTATTCCATAAGTCATAAATACTAAATTGTCGAGAATATGTTTAATAATAGAAGAAGTAGCGCGTTTAATAGGGTAAATTAGGCAATATTTTGTAAAACAACAGGTAACTACGAATATAAATCTGTTAAGTTTATGAGAAATTGGTAAAGGGCCAATCAAATCGATTGATATGCACTGGAAAGGACGAGAACAATATTTTGGTTTACCCATAAGACCAATTGTGTGTTGGTTTTGATGTTTGTAAGCTGCACAAGTATCACATTTAGAAATAAAGGTTGCTATATCTTTATACATTCCGGGCCAGTAATATTTATCTTTAATTCGATGGTACGTTTTAAAAGTTCCAAAATGAGCTGTCGTGTGCGTAGAATGATTTTGTGAAATGATACTGTTTCTGAGATCAAACGGTATCACTTCTTTCCAACTATATTCGGCGTTAAATGGTGTAGTGCT